AGACCCATTTTTAGTTGTCTGTTCCTGACTCTCCCCAGAAAAGTATCTTCAAACAACTTGAAATCGGTTTGATAAAGGGAAGGAATCAGCTTCAGATGGAAGTCTATCATCCTTGTGCTACAAAATTACTAGGACTTTCACATTCTAATAAAAATGAAAAAAAAAAAAAAACGCCACCAGTGTTTGGCTTCACAGATGTGGTGTGGGTATCATCTGTTATTATTGTCTCTCATCCTAACACAAAATATTATTGTGTGAAGATCAAAAGAGGAAGGCGAAAGAGTCCTGCCAGCTACCTCTAAAGTTAATCATCAGAGCCTTAAAATCCTCCATCTGCTCTGTGAGGTCCCTAGGTGAACCATTTTAAGGGGTGAATAACACAGCTCATTCCCCCAGATGGATGGTATTTTGCCTTCTTGAGAACAATAGTTATCACCATTATAAACAGACTTTTGTAGTTGTTACCCTGGGTAGATTCTTCATGAAACTAATAATATTTGCCAGACTATGTTTTTTATTCACAATTTAAATATTATTTATAAACTACTATTTATTCTACCAGCAGAGATTCAATGTTTGTTTTTCTGATCGTTGACCTGCCTAGTTAGAAGTACTTACCAGCTCCGATAAAGAATAAAAAAGAGGGAGGTGGTTGTAATGAAATAGTCCCCCTCCCCATCCAGGAGGACTATAAATATTTAAGAGGGCCATTATAAGACAAAAGCCTTGTTTATTACCCCATCTACCCTTGGAGGAGTACAAGCAGAAGGTGTTTTCCCATCCCTTTGAATGCTGGAAGAGGAAAATAAAAACAGATGATATGAAGATTTTTTCATCTCTTTGCTATTTGAACTGTCACTAGGCGGGGAAACCAAACTGAGGCTAGAGATCCTGGGAGTTACGTCTGGGGCCAGCCCTAAAAGGCACTTTGAATTGACAGATCACTACAATTGTCATTCTTAGGAATTATATTGCAATGCATTTGTATGTATACGGGGGGGGGGGCCACAGACATGCGGTGGCCCTGCACTCAGAGAATGGGCGTGGCCTAGAGCAGGAAGGGGAGGGCTGGGACAGCCACTCCTCAGTGCTACCCAAAGTAGGCCATGTTGGACTCGCTCCCCCAGCCCTCAGAATTTACCGGAGCACATCACGTGGTGGTTCGACAGCAATTTGAAGGGCCTGGGCTCTGGTTGCTGCTGTGGGAGCCCCAAACCCTTTTGATTCACTGGGCCCTGGGGTCACTGCCCCTTTCCCACCCCATCAGCAGGTCTGCATGGACATACTTGCTTTCACCCACCTGAAAATAACACATTTCTTTTTCCTAATTAATAATCCTTTAGAATTTATTAATAAACATTAGAGAGTTTATTACAGGATGGGCTATAGCAGTTGCCTTTGGAGTCAGATCTAGGGTAAATGACTGGTCTTTTTGAACTGGAAGCAACCTGAAAATGGTGTGATTTTTGGTGTGAATGACCATTTATTACTAAGTTCAGTCTGTCTTGGTGGTAAGATAGGCTGGAGAGTCTAAGAGACTGTCTGTGACTCCCTGGTGAGACTGGCATAGTGATCCGGGAGGTCACATTTGCTACTGGCGTGATGAAATCTAATTATAGAACACTCCTTCAGAATGGGGTGTCTGCCTGAGATAGGCATTCAAGGTCACGAGCCACTCTAGACAGTTTAGCAATCAACTTTGAGGAGAACTGCATCTTGCATAATTAAATGGAACCTAACAAACACTGTGAAGGATCAGATGGAGTGAGGTCTGAAATGAATGCTGCAGTTGTAATGCTAAGAGAATACCTTTGTACATGTCATTTGGAAATGGTAACGAATGCTGATGGTGGCAAACTAGTTCAATGTTCAATGTCTAGAAACAATTATCTGGAGAACTGGAACTTGATATTTTCAGAAGAGTTGATTTCATATCGAAGTTTTATAACTTCCGTAACATTGTTGTTATTTGGCACATGGTGTGTGAAGGAAGCTAGAATTGTTTAATGTTTATCTACAATTTTTTCCTATTCATGGTAGCATATTGTAGTTTCCACAACCATTCCCCTCAAAGGGTATTTCTATATTAGCCTCCTAGTTCGATCTAGGGAGGCTAATGAGGGTGACCGAAATTGCAAATGAAGCGCGGGATTTAAATATCCCACACTTCATTAGCTGGTTGCCATTTTAGAAGTTGACTAGCCCAAAGTAACTGCCCGTGTCTACATGTGGCAGTGAAACGGGATTCAGAATTAAAGCCCTAAATCGAATTAGCTGGTAAACCTCATTCCAGGAAGAACAACAGCTAATTCGATTTAGGGCTTTAATTCGGAATCCCATTTCACTGCCACATGTAGACGCGGGCAGTTACTTCAGGCTAGTCAATTTCTAAAATGGTGACCAGCCGGGAACATGCTAATGAAGCGCGGGATATTTAAATTTCGGTCACCCTCATTAGCCTCCCTAGATTGAACTAGGGGGCTAGTGTAGACATACCCAAATATTCCATTAGAAATTCTCAAGGTACGTATGCGTCCAAGGGGTTATAACTTTTCGTAGATATGATTTTTGTGATTAGATGCACATTAACAGTAATTACACAAGCCTATTAACTATTATCTACATAAATGTTCCTTGCACACATACGTGCTATGATTATATGCAAAAGCACAGTAATTATGGTCACATACGCACACAGCTTGCACAAGTATGCAAATGTGAAATGGTGTTCAAATGCAAAATAACTCATTTTATATAAATTAGCAAAATTAAAACTGACACCTTTTTCCGGGGAAAGGGATATAACTAAGTTGCTTGACGACATGTATTTTGTTCATGTAGACATATGAAACATCTGCACATACGCGAAGGTTAAGTGTCACAGATCATAAGCCAATTTCCCTCTGGCTTTAATAATAAGAACTTTTCTGTTGACAAACTGCACTTTTTCTTCAGATTATGTGGCATTCTCCAAAAGTGTTAACAAGAGGTACTGGCTATTACTGCTGGCTTTGGATTGGGAGTGTGGACCACACCAAAGTGTGTGCTGGACCATCATTTCAACCCTTCCTTGCTAGAGGACTGTTGTAGTCCCTGGGATTGGGACTGTCATCCAGAAAAGGTAGAACAGGGAGGAAGCAGGCCTCTTTTTGTTCCACTTCTCAGCATCCTACAACTCCTGCCCTCCCTTTCATTTCCTTTATGTTACTGATTACATGCAGTATCAGTTTCCATCAGCAGAAATGTCTGCACTGGCTGAATGAGCTTGAGTTTTGTGTTCCATGTAACTGACGGCTTGTTTCACAGGATCACATATTTTGGTATGTTGTCCTTGCAGCTGGGGTAAGATTCCTGTCACAGGGGGTCTGTGGGGAGAGGGTCAGGATGGGATAATAGTCTCTCTCTCAGGCTACGTCTATAATACAGGCTTCTTGCGCAAGAAGCTTTTTTCGGAAGAGATCTTCCGAAAAAACTTCTTGTGCAAGAGAGTGTCCACACGGCAAAAGTGCAGATTGCCTGGACGCTATCTTGCACGTAAGCAGTGATTGCTAAGGACAGAATGGCCACCAGGACACCTGTGCTTTTTTCCTCTTCCCTCTTCTTCTGAAAAAACTGCCTCTTCCCCGTCCACACATGCCTTTTTGTGAAAGAGCTCCTTCACAAAAAGGCATTCTTCTTGGTAGAATGAGGATTACCAATTGCACAAAAAGCCTTCTGTTCTTTCGATTTACTGTTGAAAGAACGCGCTTGCAGTGTGGACGTAACTCAAGTTTTGTCGGAAAAATGGCCGTTTTTCCAACAAACCTCTGTAGCGTACGCATATCCTCAGTTAAGCATTAGCTTTCTCTTAGAACCAAAGTTGAGGGAACTTGTGAGGAGGCCTGAACACTTGTGAGCTTGGGTGGATTCATTGTGCACCATCATTGCTTTGAACAACTTGGGTCCATTAGGGCCTCAGGCTTAGGCTGGTTGATTAAGTCTGCAACACGTTATGGTGAGCTAGTTAAAGAGCCATCAGCATTTAATTGTTGAAACTCTTACTCTGTCCTACTTTTAACTATAACTAGAAGCATATATGGAGTAGAAGGATAACAAACCCTTTGTACAAATATAGGTGGATTCTCTATTGAGATCTGGTCTCTACATCTCTGAGGTGCTACAATAGGACTAGAAAAGGACTTAAAAATCCAGCTAGTATATAAACATATGGTTAAATGGTTTTTTATACAGTTGCTGTCATTTTTTTTCAGAAGAATCAAAGCATGCAGCAAGCAGAACAAACAAAGGTTTTAACTGATTTTTTTTTTAAATGAAAAACAAATTGAATACTGTACACAAGTCAAGAGATACCTTTCCTTTAGGGGTATATCTCAGTCAAGCGGTGTGAGTGCAGCACACAACAAGACCAATGCTAGCTCCAATAAAGAGAAGAATGCAGCCATGGCAGCGGGGACTGGCCTCTAGAATACGTACCCAAGGTTCTAGGCAGGGCTCTACTCAAGAAAATATCCTGCGCCATCACCCGTGCTGCCCTGGCTACTCGGCAATTGTTACCTGAGCTAGCTTTGAACTAGTTAGACCAAAACTAACCTGGTGGGTCGCCATGAGCTGCAATCATATCCATTCATTGCAGTGCAGCTGAAGCCTATGTAAGCTTTGGTAACAAGGACAAAACTCACTTTTCATCTTCAAAACACCTCACTAACCCTAATTAACGAATGCCTCCAGGATCCCTAGTGTAAAAGGCCAGTAGCATTATCTCATTTACACATACGTGTACCAACACAAAGGGATTAAATACACAGTGTTAGAGCAAAGATTAGAACCCAGGCGCTGTTGACTCCAGTCTTGTTCTTAGATGATTGAGATGAGCCCACCCTGTATATTACAGTAAAATCCAATGGGTGAAGTTTATTTTTAGATAGACAAAACCAGCAATTAGCACTTTGCATTCCCCTCCACCACAGAACATTGACTAGATCGGAAATGTCTCAACCTACCTTGTTCTCTCTGTTGATCTTTTTGTTCCATGGACACAAGAGCAGAGAAATGGGCTTGATCATAGGCCAGGACAAGAGGTGAGCAGTGGCATCTGTTAGGTGGAACTTCCAGTGGCAAGTAAATTCCTCCAAATGGGATAGGTGCAAATGCTACAAAGACAGAAGCAAGATTTTTTTTAAATAAACAAGCCAGAAAAATAGGATGGGAAAAGTAAAGGTACCCTGACATTTTTATATTAATAGGCTACATATAAGTTTCAGAAGGCAGTGTTAAATGAGGGGAAAACCTAATTCTTTGATGTTGAAAAGAGTCTAAAGAACAGTTGAAGTTTCATGGTAATATTTTTAAGGAATTATGAATTTAGAAATATTAGGAAATAATTCCATTCTGATCCCAAGGCCTCTCCTCACTGCAATTTTTTATTAGTAAAGAAATATATGTATGATAACAGGATCTTCATGTCTGATGCACATGAGCAGAATTGTATTCCTCTGGAATATTTTTAGTTACAAGTAAAAGCTTTTTATTGATATCAAACACATAGTATTAACTTCTATTTTTTTGACGATGTGGTCTGATTATGTGCTTGGCTACTAGACTTCTTTGCCAAACAGCTTTTCTTTGATTACCGTTGCATATGTATTGCTCATTTACAATTTGTTATGAATACCATCTTTGCAAGGAGAAATAAACACTTGACCTATTCCTTTTTCTTTTGTGTTCGATATTTCATTCAACTATTGTAGGTTATGGAGGATTTTTTTCTAAGCTCTATTTGTATATTGATTTGGCCAGTGTGTTGTTATAATAAACTACTCTTTCTAGTTATTTTTGTTAAAGTGGCTGAGGTTATATAATATACCAGTTAAAGCATTATGATGCAGGAACCTCAATATTTTACAGAGGCTCATATATATACACGAGACAGCAACACACGTCATAAGTTGCCTATGACTACAGTTTTCAGAAAAATATTGCATTAAGCAGTGACTATAACACTCTTTTTTGCCCCACAAAACCACTAATCATTTCTTCATGGAAAGGGAAAAAGTTGGTCTCCCGGTCAGACCAACAGACAAGCAGCTAGGAATTCCTGAAATCTAAATCCAACTCTAAGAATCACTCCCTTTGTGACTTTAGAAAAATCATGTAATCTCAGCTGCTGTTTGCCCATTTGTAGAACAATGATTATTAACAACACTTACTTGCTTTACAGCTGGGTAAGAAGAAACAAAGATGAATTAACGTTTCCACAGCACTCTGAAGAGCAAAGTGTTATCTGTGCACTAAAGCTAGTTGCTAGGCCTGCCCCAGTTAAACTCATACTTTAAACACATGTTTTACATGAGTAACAAAAGTTTTGGTAAAAAGTATGGAAAAGTCTGCACCGGGAAAAATATTTGTATGTGATGATCTATTTAACTGTGAATTATTCACTAGAAATTTTAGGCAGGGATGCTAGCACTGCCTATTAATAAGATTAAACTGACACTTTGCATGGTAAGAGCTTGTTTTGGTTGGCTATAAGTTTGCCAAAATATTTGGGCAGAAATGTTACATGCCGGTTAACTCTCAGGCTGATATTTGATAATTTTTAGCCAAAATGGTTCAGAAATTTCCAAGAATGAGGATAGGGAAAATATATATTGTTTTAACCAAGTTTATACATCTTTGAAAAAAATTTGCAATTCTTGCTTGAACATTATAAACCCCTCCCCGCCTCACCAGTTCTTGTCCACATAGAGCCTGCTACTGCTATCACTTACACTGTCAACTAAAGTGGGATGCCGTTCTTCCTGAAAAGTAATAGGTGTAACGGCACTGCGCAAGAGGATTTCTCTTGCGCAAGAAGGGGCAGAGTAGATGCTCCTTCTTGTGCAAGAGCCTCTTCTGAAAAAAATGGTGGCTCATTAGGTATGCAAATGAGGCTCGGCGATATTCCACGCTTTGCCTCATTTGCATATTACTCGTGCAAGAAGCCGCGAGTGTAGACATAGCCAAGGTGTTTTAGAGGTTCTCAGAGAAAAGGTCTCTAGAATTTTATTTTTTAATGTGGACAAACAATATACACCACCCAGCTTCGTTCTCAGAAACAGCTGAACAAATGTAACTGAACTTTTCTAAAAGAATTCACCCTACTATGGCAAACACACAGAATGGAAAATTTTAGTCCAACTGGTTACAGTTTGGTAAAGTTATAAGCAACAGTGAACAGGAGCTTGTAAGTGGGAATTTTGGGACACCATCAAAAATAAATACATATAAAGACCTACCATAGGATAACATATGCAAAAACATGGAGAAAATTAGGACTCTTTTGGGAACTGAGCAAATTATTCATAGTGAATAGTTTATTGGATAAACTTCAGGGTTTTTTATGCAGACTGAACTTTATAAATGTGTGCATTACTTTAAATGATTCAAAACACTTTCTGAGAACACATTTTAGTGCACAAGATGTTTGCAAACTCTTTGATTTCATGACACATTGCTAAAATTCACTAGTTAGCGATGTGCTATTGGTGTCCTAATTCACACAGCACAGTTCACATAAATTGCAATATTTGCCTACCCTCATAAAGTTGATCTATCTTTAAAAATGTATTTAGACCAGAGGCTTGATGCAAAGCCCATTGGAGTCAATGACCTAAATGTGCATTTGATAAGCCATATAACTACAGAATGTGTTTTTACATTCAGTGGCTTTTCTATTAAACAAGGTCACAAATTTTAGCAGGAAAAATTAAAAAGAAGCATAAAAGACTGACAGAGGAATGATGATTTCAAAATGTGGAAGGAGAAAAGACAGCAACAGAATGAGAACTTTACTAACAGAGCTTGATTGGCCTATAAACGTGCTATGAAATCCCTGAATTTTAAAATGGGGCAAGTGTTCACAATGCTGTGTATGGTTTTAGACACATGAATCAAGTCACGTGAAAGATGATGGGCGCCACAGACCTAAAATCCCTGAACTGCTCTGCACTGATACCTCTCATTTATATATATTATTATAAAGACTGTTATGATGGATAAATAAATGTGTTGTGCTCTAAAATTCCTTGGCTATACAGTGATTTTAGCGAGGTGCACAAAGTGCTAATGAGAGACTTACCTTCTCCCCCTGAGTCTCTTAGCATTGTGTCTGCTACAACAACAATTGGTCTTCTCAATATATGTGCTAAGACAAAAACGTGGAACTCTTCTAAACTTTCATACACTGGATCTTCTGAATTGTCAACTCTGGAAGACACAGCACAATGACCTCAGCTGATCAACTAACAAGTGAAGATATTTGTTTCACCCTCAAGATTATTATAATAGACAAAGTGACAGAGAGGGAACTATAGGCGTGAATGTCTCACAAGAACTAGCAATGACGCATGGAATCTCTTCTCTTTTAGTCTGCATTTTAAACTCAGGCTAGATTAGTAGTAATTGAAATCTTTACTGTCTGATACATTGTGTAGCAAAGCTGATGTCATTCTCAGCCAAGTTCCTAGTGGTGGGATTGTCCCAATCACTAAAATCACAAATACTACAGGCACCTTCTGTAGAGAAGCCAAGTAAACGTTGAGGCACATTGGTATGTAACCAATGTCATATCTGCCTGGTGGAGAGAGGACTTCAGTCTCTTAAGCTGTGTGCCTCTAAGTCTGTTCTTCAGTATCAAACACACACAAAAAGACTCTGCCTGGTGGAGAGAGGACTTCAGTATCAAACACACACAAAAAGGAACTAAAAATAAAGAAAAAAAGCTAGGGTATGGGTTGGGAAGGGATGAGGAATCCCCTGCAAGTTTCTAGTACATTTACTGACCAGTTTTGACTTTTGTTTCTGGAGTCATACAAAACCCAGCTTATATGTAGGACTAGAGATCATGAAAGCCAAAATACTGTAGAAGACTACAGAATAAATTACTGAATAGGCGACTCTCATTTAAGGTGACCTCGTAAGGAGTCTGATCTAACCGCTACATACTGAAGTCAGTGGGAGTCTTTTCATTATCTATAAGAGCTGGATCAAGCTCAGAGTACTATATACAGGTCAGTCACAAAGCCTCATGTCGTACTAGCAGAGTAAAACAAAGATCAAACTAAGAGCAATTCATAAGTCAAAGTATCTGGTCATTAATGTTTTTGCTTTTATAGACATTTTAAAATTTTCTAGTCTACATTTGAACATTCCACAATGGCCTAAGCAGCTTGGAAGCTTACCCAGTATCAAAATGAGAAAGTAAGTTAAAATAAAGATTGAAAAGTGTCATGCATGAAAAGAAAGGAGTTTTTAAAACAATGAAAAATTTAATTGGAGGTCAATTTAAGCTCTTGAATACTTGAAAAAACTTTTACATGTCAACTTTCCTCCTCTTTCATATTTTATATATAAGTAAGCTTAGTTTAATGACACCTGGAAGTTATATTACTTTCTCTACATGATGAAAGTACAGAATGGCCTTTTAACATCTAATTGCCCAAGAAAGGTGAGTTATGTGGCAAATTTCACAGTTGACAAAGACATTTTGTGTCAAAGTAAGAAGATAATTCTGTACATCAGAGCATATCCATTACTAGACCAGAAACCTTAGCTTCAAAGGTGGCCAAAATGAACAAATTACCTACAAAAAGAACTTGGAGGAGACAAGTATACAGAGGATGCTGTTAGCAAATCAGAATGTCCGTCCTATGTGGGGTGAACTTCAAACAGTTTGTGTTCCACTGAATCTCATGACTGAAAGGCACCAACAATGACTGAAAATGGAAAAGGCCATAGCTGCTGAACATCCATTAGAAGAGACAAATGAGGAATCTGAGTATCATGCAGAGCTGTGAAAACCCAGATTAAATTACCTAATCACTGTTACCCAAAGGGATTAGAGAGTACAAAGCTTAGGCAAGCAGCAAAAATACATCTACAATGCATGTGACACATAAGGTGACTTGTAATTTATAACTGCTCAAACACCCAGGTCAGTACTTAAAGGATACATACGAAGTCTATAAACTGATGGGTAGTGGTATCAAGTACCACACAGACAAAACCAATGTGTCAAATAGAAAGCGTTGAACCAAAATCTACATCTAGAGTGTCATTCATATTCCTCAGAATTTGTTTCTGAACTCTAAACAACTTTGTAAAATTACTTAAAAAAAGAGAGACTGTTTTGTGGTACCAAAAAAGAATTAGATTACCCAAATACACATTTTCAAAGATTGCACATTCTTCACATACACCAGTGTTTTCACGTTACTGAGATACAGGGTGGAATTTCCACAGAACACTTTATAGGTCTCACTCATCATGGACTCTATATGCTGTGTATGTTTTAAACAACAATTAATTAGCTGGGGATAATTTCCTCTCTGGCTGTCTCTCTTCTTTTCCCCTATCATATACAGGTTTGGAATCATATTGTGTTATCCCCTTATACCTCCACTGCTGACAACTTCTCTCTATCCACTGCTGGGCCAGAAGTAACACACGGCAAGGTTTAAAATGACTTGGGGACTTGAGGGTTAGTAGGAAGGAGAAAACAACAACACTACTAGAAAAATTGCTGACACGGGAAATACAAGCTTATGTAACATTTTTTGATAGCTCTAATTATTATGGCGACTGAGTGGTCTCCAGGAGGAGTTCAGATAAGTTGACTAGGACTCAGTTATCTATGGAACAGAACATAGGATAGTTTGTTCTTGAAGTCTGGATCAGAGATTAATCAGTGTGTACGACAAATGAAAACCCTTTTTGGCTTTGAGAAGGTGCTGACCACCTGTAGCTGCAGTTTTTGTCTGGGAGAGCCTAAAGGCCTGCTGCAAAATTAACTGAAGTCAATGAGCCAAATCAACATTGGCACTGCAGCCTGGACACCTCCCAAATTAACAATGGAATTTTGTAACCTGTGTAATAAGGCACACACTGTTTAATATATTTTTTGTGAGATAGAAAAGTGAACAATGACACATATGCCCTTATTGTTATGCACAAACAGGATTTTTTGGTGCATATATTGAAGGACTTGGAATCATAAATCTGTACATGCAAGTGGATTTACTTATTTATAACTTTTTTTTAAAAAAAGCCCTTTTCTTTCCTCATTTATTCATTTTCACTCCAAACTAAACATACCTAAGGTGAAATCCTTGCCCACTGAAGTCAATGTGAGGAGTTGGTGGGGAGTTGCACTTACTTCAGTGGGGCCAAGATTTCACCTAATCTTTTTAAATATTTTGTCCAGGTTTTTCCATGCCTCTAATAATTCTGTCACCCATCTCTTACTCAGCATAGGCAAAAGGGACTCTTATGTGAGATAGGGTAACTAGAATTGAGCACAATTTATCAGGTGAATGAACACTGTAGCACTGATGTATATAAAACCAACAGACAAATCATTAGCATAATAATTAGAATTTAATACAACATAATATGAATAGTATATTAGCATCATAACTATCATAAGCATAATGTATATAATAGCATTATATTTTCATACTGTTTTCAGTCTTCTTTATATATACACACACTCAGTTTTTGTTTGTATTTTTACTTATTGCTTCACACTGATAAAAATTTACATTGAGCTATTGAGCAGCTCTTTTTCTGGGTTGGTTACATATAAGTTAGAAGCAGTTAAGGATCTGAGAAATTAAAATGATTATTTCCAATGCATGTTAGCTTGCATCGTCAACACTTTATTTCATCTCCCATCCTGCTGTCCATTCACCTAGCTTTGTTAGGTCTCTATAAAAATTCCTCACACTTTTCTCTAGCCCAAACGCTACATATTGCACGAATGGTGTGAGTTAAGGAGATATTTTTTATTCTCTGCCATAAGAGGCATAGCCCAGATTCCTAAGATGACAGACACACAACAGAATATCTGGACTTTTTCTGTTGAACATGCAAAATTTCTACACGTTGTGTATGCTGAGCAGGGTATTTGCTGAAAACGCTTATCTAGATGTATAAGAAGTGTATGGACAATTTCGGTGCATCACTCTTATAATGTACCTTCCATGTCTTTTACTGAGACAATTCTTGCACTTCATCCTCTGGCTCTCCTGTGCCTCATGAATGATAAGAGATTTATGTTGTGATCAATAATTCAGTTAAATAAATGCCACTTATAGGGCTTTACTGGGAGAAAATGGACTTTTCCTAAGCAACGCTATATCCTCTTGCCTTTATAAAACACTGAAAAAAGTCAAGAAACCACTGACTACGAGTCTGTACCTTGTGAAATAAATCAGCTGTCTATAGAAAGCGCTGCTGAGATAGCGGCTTTGAAAGTTTTCAGAAAGCAATACAAAGAGTGGAAGTGAACTGAACCTTGAGTGCCCTTCTTTAAAAGAACATTTTATAGAAATCTGTGACCGTAAGCAACCATCCAAAAGATAGAGACAAATGAGTAGCCAGAAGCAATGGTTCACTGTTTGTCTATTCTTCACATGTCTCACTGAAGAGGTTTCTTTCCTTATTACAGACTTTTTGAGAAAACTGAAGCAAAACCCCAAAGCGAGGAGATTTATATATAGTGGCTGCATTTTAAATTTTTGGGGGGAGAATTTGGGGAAATAATTTATTTCACAATAGAAAACAAAAGAAATTAAGAAAAATATATCAACCTAATTCACGGAAATTAGATCTATTTTAATGTATATTTTCATTTATATTTGCTTAATTGGCAGATTATTTCTTTGCTTTCAATATGACAACTTTAACACATTAATATATAGGAGAGAAAGCAAAATATCTTCTCTGTACTATGAATTATAATAGTATCCAGTTCATATATTTAGATGGGATAGTTCTGAAGAAACTCAACATACTCTGCAAGAATATCCACATGGCAGAAGTGCATACCACCACTGGGATAAAGGTGCATAAGAACCTCAGACAAGAAAGGTGGTAGCAACACAACATGCTGATTGGTCGAGATGTGAAAAAAACCTCAAAAACACTTAATTAAAGTTTTTACTAAAGTTTCATTTTTTTCCATTACAAAAATTAATGGCAGTTTCAAGATCAATACATGTCCAAAGGCTTTTCCATCCACTTCTATACTTAGAGGCTGTGTCTACACTGGCACCTTTTTCCGTAAAAGGGATGCTAATGAGACACTTCGGAATTGAACGTGCCTGCCGCTTTTTTCCGGCTCTGGGTTTTGCCGGAGAAAAGCGCCAATCTAGACGGGATCTTGCGGAAAATAAGTAGACGATCCTACTTTCAAGTAGGAATAAGGG